GGGATTTCGTGTTTTCTGCTTTACAACCAGTGGAGTCGAGATCAATCCGGTGAATGGAGCCTCGCCAGCCCTGCCTGCATCCCAGAGCACGGGGGTTGGACTAGAAGACCTCCGGGGTCCCTTCCCGCCCTTGCTTTTCTGTAATCCTTTCCATCGCAAGGAGGAAATGGGGCAGCTGGCCTTGTCCCATTGAACTGTGTGGCCCACCCTGAGCCCTCGGGCAGGTCAGCCAAGCCACTCAGGAGCCCCCTGCCCACCCCGTCCACCCAGCGCAGGGGCAGAAAAGCTGCTGCCCCCACCGGCTTCTCTGGCTGCTGGAGGGCCACCCACCCACCCACACCCACCCCCCCCCCAAAAAAAATCCCCTTTCCTCTTTGCTGCTTAAATCCCGGCACGGGGCTTTGTCCCCGGCAGCGATTCCTTCCTTCCCACCCCTGGCCTGTTTTTCAGCCCAAAACCTTCCCTGTGAATCGAAGGCAATAAATGGACCTCCGGAAAGCATCTCTCTGACTTCTGGGAGGCCGGAGAGGCCGTGAGGCTGCCCAGAGATCCTCCCTCCCTCCCCCTGGATCCCTTCAGGCCCCCTTCTTCCCCACCCCCACCCCCACCCCCCATGGATCTAAAGGGGTCCCTCCAAGGAGAACGGAGGATTTGGGGTGGGCTGGTCTGTCAGGGTCTGCCAAGGCAAGCCTTTTTGGGGGTGGGGAGGGGGTGTCTTTAGCCAGCCAGTTCCCCCTCCTCTTCCAGAGCTTCTGTGCCACAGAGGCCTTGTCCTGGGGGAAAGAAAATAACAGAAGGACAGGGTTGGAAGGGATCTCGGAGGCCATCTAGTCCAGCCTTCTGCTCAAGCCAATCTCTTCGTAAGCACCTCCAGTGATTCCCTGATTAATTGTCCTCCCTGTCAGGAAATCCCACCTCCTTATTTCCAGGTTGAATCTCTCCTGGATCGCTTTCCATCCATTATTATTCCTTCTCTGGCCTTGGGGGGCTTTGGAGAAGAGCTTGTCCCACCTCCACGCTCTCCAACGTGTTCACAAAAGTCACTCAGTGACCCCAACAGACAGAATGAACGGGACATTAATAGATGAGCAGAGTTGGAAGGGACCTTGTCGGTCATCTAGTCCAACCCCATGCCCAAGCAGGAGACCCGACACCATTTCTGACAGAGGACAGTCCAGTACTGCGTTCTCCGGGTCCTGGTTGTCCCAAAAGGTGCTCTTTTTTAAAAAAAAAAAAACGAGGCGACTGCTTGTCTTTTTCTTTTGAAGACATTTCACTCCTCCTCCAAGAAGCTTCCTGAGCTCTGACTGGATGGTGACAAACGGGAGGATTTATAGTCTTTGCAAACCGTTGCAGATGAACCCTTCCCTTCCCCCTCATCCAGTCAGAGCTGAGGAAGCTTCTTGGATGAGAAGGGAAATGTCTTCCAAGAAAACAAAAAAACAAACAAACCAGGAATTCCCGTTGCTTCTTGGGAAAAACAGGACCTTTGGGACAACTTTGACTGGGAAGATAGAGAATCTCTGCGGGCTTTTGTCTGGATGTTACTTTTACATCTTCTCTATAAGAAAAAGGCAGTTTTTAAATTGGATATGTACATACCGTATATATGGAGAGCAAATGTGATAATAATCACAAAAACAACTGGAGACGAACAATATGGAAGAGCTGCATCATCATTATTATTATTATTATTATTATTATTATTTAGCTTTTGCAAAAGGGAATTCTGCTCATGGCAGAAGACGTTTTCCCCAGAAGGGCCGGGGTTTATATACAGGCTCAAATATACAGTTTCTGCCTCTTTCCTGGGTTCACAATCTATCCAACTACGTATCGCCGTATGCCACACCCCTATAATTGTTGCATACCACCTGTTTCCTTGTCCTTGGAAACTACCCTCATTCTCACGGCCATGTCTTCCTGTTACGTCCATCGAAGCACAATGGATCAGGTTTCTGTTGGGTCGGAATGACCCAGAATCTCCTTCTCATCTCCTTATAAGCCTGACCTAGAGGATGCAGAATCTCTACAGACTTTTTTACCTGGTTGTTCTTTTTACATCTTCTCTCTACGAAAGAAAGGTGGTTTTTAAATTGGATATATATATATATAGAGAGAGAGAGTAAATCAGGAGGAATTGCTCACGCCTGCCTTTCTCCCACCCTCCCTTTCCTCCGGTCCGTCCCCAGAGCACGTCTGCTCCATCCTGGCCTCCCTCCTGAGGAACCTGCGGAGTCAGCAAAGGACGCGGCTGCTCAACAAGTTCACGGAGAACGACAGCGAGAAGGTCAGTGGTGGGGCGGCCAGAGGTGGCCGGAGCGGACCTGCCTATGCTTACATTAGAAGGGGAGACCCTTTGCGAGCCGTAAGGCCACCTTGTCTTCCTTGTAGTGGACGCCCATTAGTGGACATTCCAAGTGGCTGTAGAGTTTATTCTATTCTAATCAATCCATAGAAAGAAAAGGCCAGGCCGAGCTCTGTGCTTCACCTTGGCACTGCCCAAGAAGGTGCCGGAAGCTTGGCAGGGCCTCCTTCCTTCCTTCCTTCTCTCGCTTCCTGCCCGGGATGGCTGTTTTGGACAGCGCCTGCAACCCCAAGTTCCTTCCGCCTCCCCTCTTTTGCCCAGCTGGCTTTTCCGCCCGTGTTAAAGTATTAAGAGATTAATAAGAGTTGGAAGGGACCTTATAGGTCGTCTAGTCCAACCCCCCGGCCAAGCAGGAGACCCTACACCATTTCTGACAGAGGGCAGTCCAGTCTCTTCTTGGAAGCCTCCACGGATGAAGCTCCCACAACTTCTGAAGGCATCTTTCATGTTCCATGCGTTGATTGTCCTCACTGTTAGGAAATTTCCTCCTTATTCCCGGGTTGAATGTCTCCTTGTTCAGTTTCCACGGTGGCTGTTTTGGCCAGCCCTGCAACCCCGAGTTTAACAGATGAACAGAGTGAGAAGGGACCTCGTAGGTCATCTAGTCCTACCCCCACCCCTAGTCCAGTTCCTTCCGCCTTCCCTCTTTTGCGCATCCGTCTTGAAAGCATCGCTCGATCGGAGCTCACACACAGCCTGTTGTGCAAATAAGTTTGGATCGAAACGAGGGGTCCGTTCTGGGAAATCGGTGGCGGCAGAGTCCGACCCGAACAGCATGCGAGGGGCACCGGGCTTGTCTGCCGGGCGTATCCCAAGGTGCCCCTGGCTGGATGTCTTCTGCAAGAGCGGCAATTCCTGTGCTCTTTTACAATTTTGAGCTGCTTTAAATTAGAATTGATATTTCCCCCTCCCCTCAAATTTACGGAGGAGGCGGAAAAAAGGTCGGTCCATAGCTTCAGGGGCCATGAGGGGTAAGTAAAGCTGCCATGTTCAGAGGCACTCTATCAGTGAGAACAGCAGTGTGTAGCAGCAGCCAAAAAAGCCAATGCAATCCTGGGTTGCGTTAACGGAGGGATACAATCGAGAGCAAGGGAGGTACTAATATCACTCTATAAAGCCTTAGTAAGGCCACACCTAGAGTCCTGCATCCAGTTTTGGTCCCCACACTATAAAAAAGAGGTTGAGACTCTAGAAAAAGTGCAGAGAAGAGCAACCAGGATGATTTATATATTTTCTTTTTTTTTATTTATTGGATTGGTCATTTGCTGACAAGATAATGGATACAAGTATAAACATGAGTTGGAATACAGGAAATAGGTAGGAATAAACGGGGACCAAAGGACGGGGACGGTAGGCACGATGGTGCACTTATGCAGGCCCCTTACAGACCTCTTAGGAATGGGGTGAGGTCAATAGTGGACAGGGGACTGGAGATTAAAGCATACGATGAACACTGGCAGGAACTGGGCCTGGCTAGTCTAGGGAAGAGAAGGACCAGGGGAGACAGGAAAGCAGCCTTCCAATATTTGAAGGGCTGCCCCAGAGAGGAGGAAGGGGGTCAAGCTATTCTCCAAGGCACCTGAAGGCCAGACAAGGAACAATGGATGGAAAGTGAACAAGGAGAGATTCAGTCTGGAAATAAGGAGAAACTTTCTGACAGTGAGAGCAATCAACCCATGGAACATGAAAGTTGCCTTTAGAAGTTGTGGGAGCTTCATCCCTGGAGGCTTTCAAGAAGAGACTGGACTGCCATTTGTCAGAAATGGTGTAGGGTCTCCTGCTTGGGCAGAAGGGGGTTGGACTAGATGACCTACAATATCCCTTCCAACTCTGTTAATCTGTTATAACATACGATGAACGGTTGCAGGAACTGGGCCTGGCTAGTCTAGTAAAGAGAAGGACCAGGGGAGGCAGGAGAGCAGCCTTCCAATATTTGAGGGGCTGCCCCAGAGAGGAGGAGGAAGGGGGTCAAGCTATTCTACCAAAGCACCCCAAGGCCAGACAAGGAACAATGGATGGTGTAGGGTCTCCTGCTTGGGTGTGGTGTGGTGGTGGTGGGGGGGTTGGACTAGACGACCTACAAGGTCCCTTCCCACTGTGTGAATCTGAAGTGAGACATGGGGAGAGCCTGCATGAAAGGGCTTCGTTTCAGCCGGCAGGCTCGGCCTCCATCCCTGACACGCCAAAGACACACACACCCCTGCCAACCCGGAGAAATCTCCTTTTACCTTCCAGGTGGACAGGCTGATGGAGCTCTATTTCAAGTACCTGGACGCCGTGCAGGTAGCCGACAAGAAGATTGAAGGTGAAAAGCACGTAAGTCTTTTTTTTTTTTTTTCCGGCTTTGGGGTGAGCTAGAGGAGTAGCATGGCTCCACCCAACACACACACACACACACACACACACACACACACACACACAGAGCTCACAAAACTCTTTGTCACTCGGGGTTGGACAGGAGGGGTCCTGGCTGCTCTCTGAGCTGGGTTGTCCTCTCGTAGGCGTTTCCTTACCCAGCTAGGTAACACCATCCAGCGGTTCCCCAACCCTGCAGGCTTGACAACCCGGGAGGGGGAGAGGGCGGGGGGGATCGTGCGTGAGGGACAGGCCCTCCGCGCACCACTCCATTCGTGTGAGCAGAAGCCCCCCCCACTCCCCACTGGAGCTTCGCGCACGAGCGCAAGAGGTCGCGTGGCCTGGTGGTGAATGAGCCACGGCCTGGGAGTTAGGGACCCCGGATAATCGGTGCTAGAAAGGAGTGGGTTTGGCGAGGAGGAGGAGGAGGAGGAGGAGGAGGAAGAGGAGGAGGAAAGAAACACTGGTCATAATACAATCATCGTGCTGAAAGGGGCCTTGGAGGTCTTCTAGTCCAGCCCCCTGCTTGAGCAGGAAAACCTATATTATTTCGGACAAATGGCAGTCCAGTCTCTTCTTGGAAGCCTCCAGTGATGAAGCCCCCACAACTTCCGGTGGCAAGCTGTCCCACCGCTTAAAATTGTCCTCACTCTTTGGAAGTTTCTCCTGAATTCCAGGTTTTTCTTCTCTCCTTGGTTAGTTTCCATCCGTTGCTTTTTGTCTTGGTGCTTTGAGGCAGGGGTCTCCAAATATTTGAGGGGCTGTCACGAAGAGGAGGGTGGGGGAGGTCCATTTATTCTCCAAAGGAGGGGTCTCCAACCTTGGCCACTCTAAGACTTGTGGACTTCAACTCCCAGAATCCCTCAGCCAGCAAAGCTTACTCTCTCTCTCTCTCTCTCTCTCTCTCTCTCTCTCTCGTGATCCCTTCCTCTGCAATCTCTCCACTTCGGCGGGTGAGAAACAGACGAGCCCGCAAGCCTTAAAAGTGGCCAAGGTTGGAGACCCCCCCTTTGGAGAAAAAACTGCCCCCCCCCCCCCCGCTCTTCTTCGCGGCAGCCCCTCAAATATTGGAAGACCGCTATCCTGTCACCCCTAATTCCTTCCTTTTTTCCCCCCCGCAAACCCGATTCCTGCGACCGTTCCTGGGATGTGTTTTTTTAATCTCTGGGCCTTTAATCCTCTTAGTTGCTCTTCTCTGCGCTTTTCCCAAAATCTCAACATCCTTTTTGTGTGTGTGTGTGTGTAGCGCGGGGACCCAAACGGGCGGCTTGTGGTGTTTTGTTGGGAGACATGGTGGAGATGCTCATTTTCCTGCAGTGAAGGGCTGGACCCAGGGAGCCCCGGAGAGCCAAGGGGGCAAGGCTGAAGCTTCCAAAATTAAAGGCTTTGGGCTTCCTCCCGCCTCCCTCTTTCCTCGGGGGGGAGGAGGAGGCAACCGGATCCCCCCCCCATCCCCAGAGGGGGAGGGCACCAGCGGTGTCAGGCAGCACCGTTACCGCACGGAAGGGCAACAGGGAGGCAGGCGATGGCTCAATACATTATCCTCCGTCGCGTGTGGAAATTATGCTCAGCAGGTTGATTCAATAAAACGTTCTCGCCGGGCATTTTGCATGCTAATGGGCTCCTAAATGAGATGCTAATTGCCGCCACCACCTCCCAAGACAGAAATGGGATCCGGCAAGGGCAGTGGGGAGGGCGGGGGATGGGCAAGGGGGTGGGGGAGACCGTCGTCGGCGTGAGTCCCTTCCCTGGAGGATTGGGAGGCGCCTGATCATTGGGTGGGAGAGGCTGCGGGTGGCCGCAGCCAGGGCCGGGGAGGGTGGGTCAGTGGCAGCAGTGCCGGGGCTGAGAAGGCAGAGGGTTTTGACCCGGTTCCCCAAACACGACAAACCAGCTGTAATTAAATCAATGATTCCTTTATTAGGAGCGTCGACAGTCCCGGCAAAATGTCTCTCTTTCACACACACACACACAGCAGGCTAACAAGTGTGTCCGTCCGGGAGATGGACAGTTGTTTGGCACAACTATTCATCTCTGTCCCTGGGCTTTGATCCCCAGAGCCAGGGTGGGGCTTTGCTAAGCAGCAGTGGCTCTTCCGTCCCAAGGTCCGGCCCATAGGTTTCCCCTGCTCTCCTCTCCTCAGCCTTCTGTGCATCTGTTTGTCAGGCACTGGAGCCAGCTGTTCCTCCTCTTCCTCACCAGCCACCTCCAGACCTGGCTCTTCCGTCCCAAGGTCCGGCCCATAGACGTCCACTGCTCTCCTCTCCTCTGCCTTCTGTGCAGCTGCGAGTCAGACACTGGCCGGCGTCCATGCGTGAGCCGGAAACCGGAAGAACCAGCTCCCTGGTGCAGCATCCATGCCGGGGAGCTGCTTTGCTGGTTTCCGGCGCTCCCGCATGCACAAAGACCAGCTGGCCTGCGCACCAGAACTCGGAAGAGCAACAGGTGATGCCCGGCCTGCCCGGAGCGATGGTTCCACGTGCCGTAGGTTGGCCATCCCGGGAATAGAATATAGGATAAATGCCTTCCCTCCTTCCAGCACTGATGACGTTATCTAGTCATGCAGTGTTGCGAGGAAACAACCAAGAAAGCATCAAGGACCCCACAGTCATTGTCCTCCTCCTCCTCTTCTTCCTCCTCCTCCTCCTCCTCCTCCTCCTCCTCCTGGATCATCCCTAGTTGGGTCATGAAACATGTGGAAGAAAAGCCACCAAGCTCAGAGAGCACCAAGGACCCCCTAATTCTCCTCTTCTTCCTCTTCCTCCTATCCTCCTCCTCTTCTTCTTCTTCCTCCTCCCATCCTCCTCCTCTCATCCTCCTCCTCCTTCCTCCCACTCCTCCTCTCCACAAACCCCACTCGCTCCATTCCAGCACTGATGATATTCCCTAGTTGGGTCATGAAACGTCTGCAATAAAAACCCCAAGCTCAGAGAGCATCAAGTTCTCCTCCTCTTCCTCCTCCTCTTCTCCATAAACCACATTCCGTTCTAGCACTGATGATGTCCCCTAGTTGGGTCATGAAATGCCTGCAAGAAAAGCCACCAAGCTCAGAGAGCACCCAGGACCCCACATAAATTGTAGGTTCTGAAATGAGTAGATTGACATTTGAAATTAGAGCTCAAGAGGACAAACAATTTTATAAAACTTGGGACCTTTTCTATCAATGGCTAGATAATAAAATACAATAATGGAATATGCAGAATTTTAGAAAATAATGGATATATAAAGATGTATTTCTTTTCTTTTTTATTATTATATTTATAAAATGTTTTTAGGATAGATTTGGGAGGATTATATGAATTGTTATAAAATAAACTAGGTAAATTATAGTTATCTCACAAAGTATGAATGAACAAAATTATAGTCAAATGATTGATTGATAATGATACTAGGGTATTCAATTTTTGATTGATAATATGAATTATTATGTAATATAACTGTAATTGAGACTATGAAATGGATGCACAGAAAACTTGTAAACCAACCGACACACTGCTTGTACATTTATGCAAGAAAGTTGGATGTTTTTATGTTTTGTTTGCCTTTAAAAACCAATAATATATATATATATATAAAGAAATTGTAGGTTCTGGTGGGTGAAGCAAGCAGAGTCCTTGGCCTCGGATCTCTGCCGCTTCGGGGGGGGGGGGTTGGACTAGAAGACCTCCAAGGTCCCTCCCAACCCCGTTATCCTGACTCTCTTTGCAGGACATGGTGCGCCGCGGGGAGATCATCGACGACGACACGGAAGAGGAGTTCTACCTGCGGCGCCTGGACGCCGGTCTGTTTGTGCTCCAGCTCATCTGCTACATCATGGCGGAGATCAGCAATGCGGGCATCCCACAGGTAGGACCGGCCACGCCTTCCTCCCACCCTCCAGGTTCAGCCCTCACCTTTGGCTTTCTCTCTGAATGGATAGATAGGATTTGTTTATTTGTATCTCGCCTTTATCGTTTCTGTCAATAATTCAAGGCAGCCAATAGGTTTGACACAGACTTTCTTCCGGTTTTCCCCACAACAAGAACCCTTTCCTGCCTAAGGCGGGACTAAAACTCCCCGTCTCCTGGTGATTGGCCCAAAGCCACCCAGTTGGCTTTCATGCCTAAGGCGGGACTAGAACTCCCCGTCTCCTGGTGATTGGCCCAAAGTCACCCAGCTGGCTTTCGTGCCTAAGGCGGGACTAGAACTCCCCGTCTCCTGGTGATTGGCCCAAAGTCACCCAGCCTGCTTTCATGCCTAAGGCGGGACTAGAACTCCCTGTGTCTTGCTTTCCGAGCCTTTAACCACTAAGCCAAACTTCCTTTGTGGCCTCTTTGCTTCCATGCCGCCTGCTACGGTTCAGTCTGGGTAAGCCAGGGTCCTGAGGCCGAATTCCGTTGCCCCTTCCCAGGCGCCCCTGTAGTATATTGAACCTTGGTTGACCAGATTCTTGTATACAGCTAGTCCTCGACTTAGAGCCGTCCATTTAGTGACCATTCAAAGTTAGAACTCATGGTCACGGCACCAAAATTCAGACGCTCAGCAACCGACTCACATTTACGACGGTCGCAGTGCTCCAGGGTTCACGCGATCCCCTTTGGCGACCTTCTGAGAAGGCGGATCCCCTTAACAGCCGTGCCACTCGGCTTAACAATGGCGGCGATTCCCGTAACCTCTCGGGGCAAGAAACATCACAAAACGGGACCAAACTCGCTTAGCAAACGTCTCGTCTAGCAGCGGAAATCCTGGGCTCAGTCACCGTCGTTGACTCGAGGACTACCTCTGGAGCAGTGTTGGTGAACCTTTTTGGCACCGAGTGCCGAAACGGCAGCGCACATGGGAGGAGCACCGGAAGCCGGA